CCCCCTCCCCCCCGTATTCCCACACTCACTCCTCTCCCACTTTTTAGTCTTGAATTCAGCAACTCTCTTACCAGAGTATTATATGAAATGTGACACAAAACTCCATGGCTTATCGAAATGATCCTTTGCTTTAACAGACTTCTATTCTTGTGCTACTACTCTACTATACCCCAGGTCTGGCAACCATGAACACCTGGCAGGCCGGTTGATACTGTAAACTCAATCTATGGTGGCACTATGGCCGTTTATTTGATTAAAATTAAAACAGAAGTGGTTATCAGTAGTAGCGTAAACAGTCATAGTATCTCACCAGTGACTATTTGTGAAGCGTGCTGACAAAATGAGTTACTGCTCGGATTCAATCCTTAAGGAAATAGCTACATCAAGCTTATAGGTGATGTTTTTACAATTTATAAGTATGAAATAGCAAAAGACAGGTTATAGTTAAAGAATATGGCATCAATAGAAAATCTACAAATTTGACCTCAGTGTAGATTTTTGGCCAATATCTCCATTTGTGGATTGCGAGAAGTAACTCATTTTGTCAGAATGCCTCACATTTATATTTTAAATTTAATTTTATTTGCAGACGAAGGCACTCTCACTGACATAATTCTTAATAATGTATATTCACTGCTTGGAATAATTCACACATCTCATGCTTACCCCCAGCCACATACCCCCACCAACCCCCAAAATGAGTATTTGAATATTTTATCTTATTCTATTTACTTTTTAAAATATTTATGGAGACCTTCGATTTTTCACAAATTGTTGGTATGAAATGCTCACATGTAAAATAAAACATCTGCTTTTTATAAGGACAAGAATGGTTTGGTTTTGTAAGTAATCTACGTTTTAGGAGATGATAGTTCACTATCACAGAGTGTAAGTCTTTCATTTTCTCTGTAGTAGTAAGCTGTTTCCATATAGTAAGTATTAAACTTTGAAGTTTTCATTCCTCGTATTGCAGCAAAGGTTTTTCGTTCCTGTCACTGTTTATTCTTCAATGTTAACGACTTCATATACTTTTCAGTTCAGTTCATGGAAAAGTAAGAGTAATGCTTCCCTGTGGGTAGTTTGTTTTTTGTTTTTTTTGGGGGGGAGGGGGTTGTTTTTTTCCCTGGTTTTGCAATAATCCGAAGTGGGAAGTGTAAACTGACAGAAAAGAAACATGTGTCTGCAATAGCACCTGTCAAGCAGTATGAAGCAGAAGTTTGTTTGAATTGATGACAACTGTCCATTTGTAGAAAAGTCTTTTGGTCTTATTGTGTTGCAAGTGCCGTAAAACACTTACTAAAACTAAACGAAAAAGTCTTTGATTTAAAGAGGAAGTCTCTCTCTGTTTCATGTTGGCGAATTACCCATTTTGGCCCAGGTAATGAACTTGAAATGTTGGAAATATTACAGCTGTTTCAAAAGTAATTGTTGGTGGTAGGCTAGTTCTCTGGTGTGGTTTGCTCCTTCTTTCCTATCAAATATCTACCGTCTTTATCTCTCCTCTTATTTTCTCTGTATGTTACTCTCAAGTAACACCTCTAATCTTCAACACCTCTAATCTTCTGCACTTATCGTACGACCTATTTGTGACGCAAAAGTGCTGTAAAACTCTTACTAAAACTTAAAACCGAAAAAAAAGTCATCATTTTCCTTCTCTGTGTGTTTTTCCACCGATCGCCTAGGTGGTGAATGAGTTAGCGTCTTCGGCCGGGGAACGCTGCAGTGTGGATCCAACCCTGTGTAATGCCCTGCGCACTTTGAAGAGTGGTGAGACTGTTTAAGTACCGTACTGCATATCAGGATGTTTTTCATGCCTACCAAATTGTCTTATTGTGTTGATGGGGGTTTAAAATAACTTACATTTTTTTTTTAAAAGCAACTCCATCTCAGTCAATGTTCTTCACTTTAGCTCTTGCACAAAGGTAAATGGATAACTCCATCAATGTTCTTCTCTCTAGCTCTACCACAAAGGTAAATGGATAACTCCATCAATGTTCTTCTCTCTAGCTCTACCACAAAGGTAAATGGATAACTCCATCAATGTTCTTCTCTCTAGCTCTACCACAAAGGTAAATGGATAACTCCATCAATGTTCTTCTCTCTAGCTCTACCACAAAGGTAAATGGATAATGCTTCTCTCTAGCTCTCCTACAAAGGTAAATGGATAATGCTTCTCTCTAGCTCTACCACAAAGGTAAATGGATAATGCTTCTCTCTAGCTCTCCTTCAATAACTCCAACTCTCTCCGTGGGTGGTTGGCGGGTGCTCTGGTGTGGTTTGCTTCTTCTTTCCTATCAAACATAACTATCGTCCTTATCTCCCTTTCTTCTTTTTTATGTTTGTTACTCTCTTGTAAAACCTCTAATTTTCTGGCGCTCATTTGACCTTATGTAGTTGCGAGCGCCGTAAAACCTTTACTAAAACTAAAAAACAACTCTGTTCTTGACAGAACATGCGGAGGATGAGTACACCATCGCTTGTCTCCTCTTCGTTTTCGTCGCTGTGTCCATTCCTAAACTGGCTCGTATGGACTTGTCTGTCTTCAAGGCTGCCCTGGAAGGTAAGTTGACCTTTTGAGTGTGTCATCATTTTTGTAATTCTTTGCTATGATTGTTGTATTATTTTTGCCATTTTCTAAGGTTTATTATTGTGGGTGTTTGGCGGGTGCTCTGGTGTGGTTTGCTCCTTCTTTTCTATCAAACATCTATCGCCTTTATCTCCCCTCCTTTTTTATGTTTGTTACTCTCTTGAAACAACTCTAATCTTCTGGCGTTCATATGACCTTATGCAGTTACGAGCGCCGTAAAACCCCTACTAAAACTAAAAACTAAAAGTTTATTATTAGTATAATTACAGTATAACACAGATAGCTCGAATTCGTCGGGACTGACCTCGGTAGTTTGAGGGATCCGTAGTTCGAGGGATATCTTACAAAAGATAAAGAAGAAGAAAAAAACGGGACCGCAGGCACAGTTCAATGGATGTGTGATTTTCTTTTGAAACTTCTGTGTTCAACCTATCTGTTAGGCAGTAATAGTATACTTGTGTGTCTTTTCTTTGTGTGCCAGTACAGAAAAAATTTAACAGTTACAGTAGTAATTGTAATAGTATGTATGCCTTTTCTTTGTGTCCCAATACCTTAAACATTTCAGAGTTACAATAGTGATTATAATATGTATGTCTTTTCTTTGTGTGCCAATACCTTAAACATTTCAGAGTTACAATAGTGATTATAATAGTATATATGGCTTTTTTTTTGTGTCCCAATACATGAAATAGTTCAGAGTTACAGTAGTAATTGTAATATGTATGTCTTTTCTTTGTATGCCAATATATGAAAAAGTTCAGAGTTACAGTAGTAATCATAATAGTAGATGTCTTTTCTTTGTATCTCCAAACATGAAAAAAGTGCTCTTTCAACACGCAAGGGATTCTACAATTTTACTCATCCGATTTGAGGGTGTTACCTTAAAACGGCTATGATGATTTAGTCAAATATTGATGGATTTGTTTGTGTGAGCACTCAAACTATTCATGATTAGACAGAGAATCACAATGCGGTTGAAAATAGATTGTAATGTAGCTAGCATAGGACCAGGTGTAGATCTAGATCTTGACAAAATTGGTACCCCCCAATCGCCACTTCAGAGGCGATTTGCTGAAACGGGGCTCCAACAGCGCCACTTAATTGGCAATCCGCTGAAACATAGAACCAAAAATTCCACTGAAGTCGTGAGTCGCTGAATTGCAGAACCAAAAACGCCACTTAATTGGCGATCCGCTGAAACTGAAACATGGACGGAAAAGCGACACTTATGAGGTGATTCGCTGAAATGGGGATCCAAAAATGCCACTTTCTTGGTGATCCACTGAAACATAGAACCAAAAATGGCACATACGTGGTGATCCAGAACCGAAGAATTAAACAGGAATAACACAAGTTTGTGCATGGTTTCCGTCTTATTCTCCAGGCCACATGAACAACTGCCACTGTCTTGCCAAGAGCATCAACGGTCTGGCCGGAGCTCTCTTCTCCCTGTACGGTCCAGGCGACACCGATCTCCGACTGCAGGAGTTCCTGGCGGTGAGTCACCTGTTTACTTTGTTCCTGATGCTGTGTTTGTTATACTGTGTCTTGTAATTAAATTCCTGCGTGTGGTTGAATGATGCATTTGATGTGAATGTACATTTTGTCAGCTTTACTTCTCTTTTCATATTGAATTTTAATGAGAGTAATATATAATTTAAATTTTTAATGTATACCTTCATGTGTTTTTACGGTCCTGTACAGCGAAGAAAAATTTCCCTCTGGGATAATAAAGTATTATCTCATCTTATCTTATCTTATCTTATACTATATCTGAGTAGGTTTTACATTATCCTGTCTTTATATGTTACTCTCTAGTAAGACCTCTCATCGCCAGCACTTATATGACTTAATTGTGCTGTGAGTGTCGTTAAACTCTTACTGTGGGTGGTTGGCGGGTGCTCTGGTGGGGTTTGCTCCTTCTTTCCTATCAAACACCTCTCGTCCTTATATCTCCCCTCCTTCTTTTTGGTGTTTGTTACTCTCTTGTAACACCTCTAATCTTCGGCACTTATATGACCTTATTGTGTTGCAAGTGCCGTAAAACTCTTACTGAAACTAAAATTTACTTTATCCTGTCTTTGTGTGTTACTCTCTAGTAAGACCTCTCATCATCAGCACGTATATGACTTAATTGTGTTGTGAGTGTCGTAAAACTCTTACTAAAGCTAATCTAAACTGACAGTCTCCACAGTGTGAGCTAGTTTATTGGATGTTTTCTACTGTCGTACAAATTTCATACCTCTCAAACTTTGAAAAAAATAATGCGGTCAAAACCGTGTAAGACGGCCACCCATTGTGTGGAGAAAAAAGCTGTATTAGACAAGACAGGTGCCCGCTTTACACAGCGTCTTTATGATGTAAAAAAATATGCAAGTGACTAAATGGGAATTGGCCGTTTGTACAGGTGATTGTCTTATACAAGTGATTGTTTTATACGGGTGGCTGTCTTACTCAGTGTCATTATAATGTAAAAATTACACAAGGGACTAAATGGAAAATGGCTGTTGATAGAGGCAATTGTCTTATACAGGGGATTGTCTTATACAGGTGATTGTCTTATACAGGTGGCTGTCTTACTCAGTGTCATTTATATGTAAAAATTACACAAGGGACTAAATGAGAATTGGCCGTTTGTACAGGTGATTGTCTTATACAGGTGATTGTCTTATACAGGTGGCTGTCTTACTCAGTGTCATTTATATGTAAAAATTACACAAGGGACTAAATGAGAATTGGCCGTTTGTACAGGTGATTGTCTTCTGCAGGTGGCCATTAGAGCAGGTTGGTGGGTGGTTAGCAGGTGCTCTGGTGTGGTTTGCTTCTTCTTTCACTATCAAACATCTATCGTCCTTATCATCTCCCCTTCTTCTTTGTTATGTTTGTTACTCTCTTGTAACACCTCTAATCTTCTGGTGCTCATATGACCTTGTGCAGTTGCGAGCGCCGTAAAACCTCTACTAAAACTAAAGAGCAGGTTTGACTGTATTTTTGTGTCTCCATTACCTTCCAGCTCGCCTCGTCCAGTCTTCTCCGTTTGGGATTTGAAAACGACAAAGACACGGTGAAGAACCGAGACTCGATCTACGTGCTTCTGGACCAGGTAATGTTGTGGGACCAATGCTAACATAGATAGATGTGTCGATATATAGCTCAGTTTTACCCTATCCGTACGCCCTGGGCTCATTTTGTACCCCCGGGGTTGTATTCTTCACATTTTAGAATAGTTCTAGTTCAAAGATCTGTTTGGAACTTTCAGTATTTCTCATAAAATCATTTTGAAAGACTGCTATGCAAAGCGTACAGATCGGATTAACGAGTAAATTTCCTATTTGGAAAGTGGTGGCACAGAGTTCCCCACGTCGTATGGATACAATAGTAAAACACGACGTACGGATAGGGTTAATATCATGTCTCAGGCATAGCGCAAATGTTCAAATGACGGGGAGAGGGGAACTACTCTGAAATAACTGATGATGATGATAATAATAATAATAAAGATCACTTCTAACGTGCCCACTCCTTGGTGGTTCTAGGGCAGTCGCAATAAAATAGGAGAAAGTTGACAGTCTAAATGCCAATATCTTCATTTTTTTATTGCGAGAAGTAACTCTTTTTGTCAGCACTCCTCACATTTCAATATGTGATGTGTGACTCATCTTGTCGTGTTGCTCCACAAATTGCGACTGACTTGTGTGATTTTGTCTCAGATTGTCCAAGAATCTCCCTTCCTGACCATGGACCTCCTGGAGTCGTGTTTCCCCTACGCTCTGTTGAGGAACGCCTACCACACGGTGTACAAAGCGTCCGCTGCCGACATGTGAGGATACAACGTACGACAAGTCTATGGAAGCCGACATGTGAGGATACAACATACAACAAGTCTATGGAAGCCGACATGTGAGGATACAACATACGACAAGTCTATGGAAGCCGACATGTGAGGATACGACATACGACAAGTCTATGGAAGCCGACATGTGAGGATACAACATACGACAAGTCTATGGAAGCCGACATGTGAGGATACAACATACGACAAGTCTATGGAACTGTTTCATTATTATTTCTAATCTTATCCGAAGCAATGACGTATGATGATTATTTTGAGCCTGAGATTCACTCCACCAGCTAGGAATTCTTGTGTGTGACTTCTCGTAGATTGTGCGTTTTTCTTTTCTGTCTCTATCTTTTATTTTATTTTTCTCTCTCTTTCTTTTCTTCTTCTTCTCTTTTTCTCGTTCTCTCTCTCTCTCTGTTTGTCTGTTTGTGTGTGTGTCTCTCTCTCTTTGTTTCTCTCTGTCTCGCTCTGTCTTTGTCTCTCTCCCCCACTCTCTTTTTCTCTCTCAATCTCCTGTTCACTCTCCCTCTCCCTCCCCTTTCTCTCTCTCTCTCTCTCTCTCTCTCTCTCTCTCTCTCTCTCTCTCCCTCCCTCTTCTCTCTCTCTCTCCCTCCCTCTTCTCTCTCTCTCTCTGCTAATCATGTTTGTCTGCGTACGCCTCCCTGTATTCATCTTTTCATCCTCCTTTCACATACTCTTCCCTATATATATATAATCGGATGAACAATCCCCACACAATCGCACGCACACACATCCTCACAGTCACAGATGCTCAAACTAACTTACTTCACACAGCACAAAGGGACAGGTTTGTGTAAGTCCTTGCTCAATCATTCACACGGAAGTGGCATTACAAAAACGCCCCGCTGTATTTTTTTTTCCTTTAAAAAAAATTTTTTTGATCACCACTCTTTTTTTTTTTCTTTTTTTTTTTATCACCACTCTTTTTTTTTTTTTTTGATCACTCTTTTTATACAGTATAAAACTTTTCCTGCACATCCTACATACAGCACATTGCTCAGCCCGTGTAACCTCTGTTTTCTGTCACGGGCTCATACACAAGTGACACATCCAGACTGAGTGAGTTTGATGTTTTTTGCCTGAAGTCGACAAACTGTTGTCAGTGCCATTTATTTCACTCGGTGGATGATTGGAGGCGAACTAGTCACTAGTTCTTTGCTGTGCCTCTTTTTCGTCTATCTATCTGTCTATCTGTGGGTGGTTGGCGGGCGACTTTCTGTCGCTCGTGCTATCAATATCATCCTTTCATTTGTTGCTGGTTGAACTCTTTGCGGTCACTTGGCGCAGTAATGCGCCGGTGAAAATTATCCGTTCCGGTCACCTGGCACAGCTCTGCGTCAGGTCGGAGAAGTCCGTTGAAGTCACTCTCCTGGTTTTGGTGACCAGATGGGGTATTTTGTACTGCAGGCTGTGTGACTGCAAAGTGTGAATAGACATTTGTATGAAGTGCAAATAATCTTACTGATGCACCTACGATTATTGAGTGAAGGAATGAATTTTGCTTTTTTACTGGTAGCGGTGACAATTCAATAGATATAAGGCTTTTACTTTTAGAATTACGCTTCCTCACCTTCTGTAGACACTGCAGTTACAGGAAGAAGATAAGCAGAGCTTGTTGTGTGTGCTTTGAGTGAGTTGCTGCAGCGTTTGAAGTGAGGGTGTCTAGTCTTTTTGTGTTTGCTATTGAGGCTAGACTATGGTGCAGAGTTTATAAACGTTCACAATTGTTTTTGGCCTCATTCTTGCTGTTTCGTTGATGCTGTTGACATGACAAACCTTTTTATTTTGTGCTGTTTTTGTTTAAGGACAGTACCATAATAGTGAACTGGAAGAGTCAGAAACTGCACCCACTATGCTGGTGGTCTTCAATTACATGATCAACCTATATATGTATATTTTATTAATGTCTCTGTACATTTCAGTATGATCTGATCGTTTTGTTCTTCTGATGCACAAAAAAACTTGTCATATCTCGTATATTCTTGTTTGGGTGTAAAGGAAAGTTTCTTCGTATGAATTTCTGAAGGATGGAAATTTGTGCATGAGTGGAAGGAGAAAGCTCTTGCTCATCCATCAGAGGGCTTGGGTGCTTTATTGTGTGAGGTCAGAGTGCATTGTGAGTTGTGAGTGTTTGTTTATGATGTCACCTGTCGGAACCCTCAGTGTTTTATTGTGTGAGATCAGAGTGAGTTGTGAGTGTTTGTTTGTGATGTCACCCAACGGAGGCCTAAGTGTTTAAATGTGTGAGAAACATGTACGTTATGAGTGTTTGTAATGCTCAGCCTGCAGAACCCTCAGTGTTTTCTTGTTGTGTGAGATCAGAATGAGTTGTGAGTGTTTGTTTGTGATGTCACGTGGTGGAGGCCTCAGTGTTTTACTGCATGAGATACGTGTGGGTTTTGTGTGTTTGTTAGTCATGTTAAGGGGCGAAACACATCTTTTCTTTGGCACTCATATGACCTTATTGTGTTGCAAGTGCCGGAAAACGCTTACTAAAACTAAGAAATGAACTTTTTATAACTGTACTCTTATTCCTCTTTTTCTGCTCCTCCTCCTCCTCCCCCTCCCCCTCCTCCTCCCCCTCCTCCTCCTCCCCCTCCTCCTCCTCCCCCCCTCCTCCTCCTCCTCCTCCTCCTCCTCCTCCTCCCCCTCCCCCCTCCTCCTCCTCCTCCTCCCCCTCCCCCCTCCTCCTCCTCCTCCTACTCCTCCTTCTCCTCCTCCTCCTCCCCCTCCCCCTCCCCCTCCTCCTCCTTCTCCTCCTCCTCCTTTCAATGGCTTCACTCAACCATTTACATTTGTAAATACAATCCAGAAGAAAAGTGGGCAAAACTTGACTTGCCTTCTGAGGGAGAAGCAACCGTTGAATATATACTGGCTGTGTTTCGTGTAATAAATGGACAAAGGAACCTATCATTTCGAGTCAAAGGGAATATATATATCTTCATGTGTGTTACCTGATAAAGTATGGCTACCTGCTCTGATGTAGGATTATGCAAAGTTACCAGGTTTGTGCTTTGGAGTTGTCTGTGAGAGTATTGGAGGCTGAGAGCGAGAACCTTCTATGTGCGACATTGCTATACTGCTCTTTGATCTTTGAGTGGTTTGATTTGTTTTACCGTGTTTGTGTGTCAAATAATGATCAGATCTGTTAAATATGTTTGTATTCCAGTTCAGTAATTCAGCTAGAAGAGAATTTTGAAAGAACTTCTTGTTTTTTTTGTTTTTTTATCTTGCACATTTTCATTGTACATAAAACTCTATACATGATGTACCTGTACAGAATTATAATTTGTGTTTCAAAACTCGAGTGACTGAATTTCGACTGGTCTCCTTATATAAGAATGATGCAATAAATGTTGTACATGTTCGTTTCTTTCTGTACGTGTACGGTGGAGCTCTTGATCTGGTATTGTTGACAGTTTTCTTCTCTAGGCTACCGTTATAATGTGAAACTTTTTTTTTTCACTTTTTTTTCTGTGTATATATAACATCAGGGTAATACAAATATGGTCGAAGTAATTTTTCATCGTTTTGAGTAAATCACGAAAAAATTTCAAACTTCACGTCTGTTCTTCACTCCGACTAGGCTTATAATTGTTTAGAAGTTCCGATTTTCAGGATAAATCCGGAAATACAGATTTTTAAAAGTGTCCCGATTTTGCCGCATCTGCTTGATCCGATACAACAATGGATTAGAGTAGACAATATGATCCATTAATTTTTTCACCCATACTTGTGTTTCCGCGGGTTCTGAACAGTTCAGGAATTATTTTTTTTAACCAGTAGGTGCCTCTGATAATTTATTTTTTTTCAATGATTTAGAAATTTCTTGGCTAATGTACACTACAGTTTTATGGAACAGTGGTAGGTCGTTGTAGAAGTAAAGTTATCTTGGGTTCATTTGTTTTTTTTGGCCTAGTCTGACTTTGGGCATGGGTTGTTGGCAGGTGCTCTGGAATGGTTTGCTCCTTCTTTCCAATCAAACGTCTATCGTCTTTATCTCCCCCTCCTTCTTTTTTTGTGTTGTTACTCTCTTGTAACACCTCTAATCTTCTGCACTGATATGACCTTATTGTGTTGCAAGTGCCGTAAAACTCTTACTAAAACAAACAAAAACCTTACGAAAACAAAACGAAAAGTACCCAGAGATGTTTTGTAGGCTACGGGAGTGGGCGCTATAGAAATGATCTGCATTGTTGTTGTTATTATTATTATTATTATTAGGCCTATTATTATGTAATTATGTTACTACAGTTTTCTTGTTTGTAGTGGTTGTTGTCAACTTTGTACTTTGTCAGTGCATTTACCTTCCAGGCTTGACCGTTTCATATATTATTACATTATTACATGTATATTTTATTTTCCTACCTTAGTCACCAGCACATTGATGCCACTGCATGCATGTTAATAGATCAAATACATTTTCTTAATATGGCCTCGCTGACTTTCTTTGACTTCTTTTTCCTCGTGGTGGGGAGGGAGGGGGGAGTGAGGGGAGAAAGATGCAGAGATATGGTACTTGTGATTTTTCTTTTTTGACTTGTTGTTTTATAAGTCAGATGAAACATTTTGCCGCCCCAGTATTTTCTAGCTCATCTCCAACATCTTCTTGCTCAACCCTAATATTTTCTAGCTCGTCCCCAGTATTTTCTAGCTCAACCCTAATATTTTCTAGCTCATCCCCAGTATTTTCTAGCTCATCTCCAACATTTTCTTGCTCAACCCTGATATTTCATAGATCATCCCCAGCATTTTTTAGTTCATCCCCAGTATTTTCTAGCCCATCCCCAGTATTTTATAGCTCAACCTTAAAGTTTTCTAGCTCATCCTCCACTACTTTTTAGCTCAACCACAGTATTTCTAGCTAATCCCTAATATTTTCTAACTTGTCCCCAGTATTTTCTAGCTCATCCCCAGTATTTTTTAGCTCAACCCTAATATTTTCTAGCTCATCCCCAGTATTTTTTTAGCTCCCTTCCCAGTATTTTCGAGCTCATCCACAGTATTCCTCAGTGTTTTCTAGATCATTCCCAGTATTTTCTTGCTAATCCCCAAAATTTGCCAGTATTGTCTAGCCCATCCCCAATAATTTCTGACGTATCCCAAATATCCCCCACTATTTTGTAGCTCATCCCTAGCATTGTCTAGCTCATCCCCGCTATTTTCTAGCTCATCCCAAGTATTTTGTAGCTCATCCCCAGTATATTATAGCTCAACCTTAAAATTTTCTAGCTCATCCCAACTATTTTTTAGCTCTAGCTCTTCCCAAATATTTTCTAGTTCATTTCCAATATTTTTTCTCACATCTCTAATATTTTCTAGCTCATTACCAGTATTTTCTAGCTCAAGCTTAAAGTTTTCTAGCTCATCCCCACTAAGCTCAAAAA